CGATAATTTTCCTCAAAATACGATAATTTTGAGCTGCTGATACGATAATTCAACATTTCCCACCTGGCAACCCTGTATCAACTTCATTTCACTTCTCAGATATCACTGTGTTTGTCCCCTATATGATATATTTTACTGATTTTTTTATCCAAACAATCAATGATTATGTAAATCAGGAAAATGAACAAAGCTGCCCAAACTTTCACACCCCACTGTATAAAAAGACCAACTGACAAAACCTAAAGGACCAACACCTGTGACAGAAAAACTACAGGCATCAGGTACAAGTGGGTGAGGCTGAACCAGCGACCACACGGATCAGAATATAAAACAAAAACTAGGAAAAATACCAATAAACAAAAGTGCAGATCAAAAAAAAAACATCCTCAGGAGTTCCGTTGCATTAATCTTCAAGAAAAGGTAGATCGAACTGATGAATGAAAACTGTAGGAACTTTATTTTAATGTTTTGTATAAAGCTGATGAAATGTTTTAGCAACTTGTACGTATGTATTACGTATAAATGCCTGGTAACACAAAAGTTTTCCATACCCTGTACACAAAGTACATTTATATTATCTGTTATTTGTTGACTGTTAGTGAATTATTCAGCTTTTAYAATAATAATGCTCTTAACTGAAGATTAAATGTGTGGGTAAAGTCACGTAAATCACCAGGTTCATCACGTTATGATATTACATTGATTTGTTTGGATGACRATAAGTTATTTCTTCACATTACAAAGACTGTCACAATACACAGGTCTGTGACAGATATGATGCAGTATAATATGCCTATTTAACATAAATGATTGTGTTGGATGGGCATATATTGATCCACATCAGGCATGTGATAATATAGATCAAAGTTTTATTTTGCTCTGATGTAATCAAACAATCATTTAATCATTATATTGTAGATTGATGTATTGTGGGGGTTTCAAGAAGTAACTGATTGTCCCTCACAGTTATCTGAATTGTGGGGCAGATGGTAGAATTTAACAGGTTTCTCCACTGCTTAAACCTTTACWGATAAAACTTTTTCTAAAACTTTTAACTAGTTAACAGAAAAAAAATGAAACAAAGTCATTTGGGGTAATTCTCAGATGAATATATGCTGTCCTGAAATGGATTTACTTGACTTAAATCCACCGTTTACATCCACCAAAAACAGTTTTTATGGAAAATCATTTAAAGCCAGAGAGGAGTAAATGAAAATGATTGTGGGTTTTTTTATTTTCCACTGTCAGATTTGAAGTGTAAACAGCTTCACTTCTGCTCTGAGTTGAATTAAAACTGTTGTAAAATAAAGAATACAGTCTGTTTTCCTCACCGATGGTGGTGATGACAGTGATAGCGAAGTAAAAAGACCCRGTGAACTTCCACTGCCTGCCGCCCCGGTGCTGCTCAGACTGCAGGATGACTCTCTCCATCTGTCTGTAGTCCTCCTCCATCAAGCCGTACTTTGTCTTCAGCTCAGTCAGCTGCTGCTCCAGCACCTTCTTCCTGGAGCTCTCGCTCTCTGTCTCCAGGGCGTCAAACACAGCCGCTCCAACGAGCAGGTAGAAAACAACAGAGAGGATCAGAGTCAGAGTCCTGATGTTCTGAGTCTTCATCCTTTAACTCCAGAGGAGTGCAGGAGTGGAGTGAGGAGGCGCAGGGACAGGAGGGAGGGAGGGAGGTGGTGCTCAGAGGGGCAGTTTACGTCTTCTGCATTCATCACTAAAATGTAAGTGTCTGTGCAGCTTGGACTTGTTGCTACAGAGACTAAAGATGCTGCTACTGACACTCAACAAGTCAAAAGTGCAAAGTTRGAAAGAACTACTCCAGGATGGAGCTGGAACAATATTAATCTTTGATTTGTTGTTTTTATTGTTTGCCAAGTCTTTCTAAATGTGCTGACATATAAGTCTCTATCTGTCACTGACACACTTTTTATCATCTCTTACATTATGATAATATGATCCCTTTTTAAAAGGTTTTTAACCACTTTAGTGAAAAGTTCATGAACAAATGAAACAATAATTGTCTTGGGGGGTTTTTTTTTCAGACAGTATTTTGAAAACTTCAGTTTGGAGAAATCAGAATTTAATTTCAACATTGAGTCCAAATTCAACAAAGAAAACAATATGGTAGAATTCAGGTCTGAAACAACATTGATGAACAATTAAAATATTTTGAAAATGGTTTAAAACAATATTGCAGTTTGAATTTGCCCATGGTCAGACCAGACATGAGTTAGCTCGTTAGTCCTGAGAGACATAGACTTTATTTCACCAAAYTGAGTCTGTGTAAAAAACCCAACACACAAATGGTTGGAATATTTCTTTATTTTTAGTCACCTCAAAGCAACTTGCATAATTTCACTGATGTTGGAGAAAGATGTGCTTTTTTTCATATTTATCTCTTCTTGTAAAAAAGAAACAATTCTGTCTGTTTTGAATACATAAAAYAGATTGAAGATTAAAACAGAATTTAAACTATGCTTAGCACAAAATRTAAGGAAATTCGTGTTTGGTAGAATATTTCTTTATTGTAGCAATGCTTCTTGGAAATAAATCCTATAATTGGCCGAAAATGGGGGTCCCAGAAGTTCAAAACAAGTGTCATTGGTTACAGGAAAATAAGCTGTTTGGCAAAGAAGAGTTGGCTAATTTTTGGTGTGCACAACCCAAACACTCAGCTCTACAGCTCATCCCACAAATGCATGTTCCTTACAAATGTGGTACGATTTCAAAGGGAAATTAACAGACTTTCTAACACTATGATTTACTGCCAAAAAGCATTGTTACAACAAAGAAATAAKCTACCAAACACAAACTTCCTTACTTTCTGTGCTAAGCTTATTTGTAAGAAAAATAAAATGAAATTAGACTTGCCTTTCTGTGAAGCTGAACTGTAACATGTCACCAGTACAAGTACCATTAAATTACTACAAGTCTTGCTGCAAAAGTGATAAGATTGATTTTGTTGTRGTTTGTTGACAAATCTAAATGAGTAAAAGTTGTTAAAATCAAAAAATGACAAAAATGGCCATTCTGAGTGATACAAAACCTGTCATAACATTAGTTCTRATACAAAATGAGTGCTGTTGYATTKGAGAACGGTGGAGCTCAACCAGAGYTCTTCAGATTACAGAAATTTTCTGTCAGGTTTAGGGAGAGGAGTGCAGACTGCACACGGAGCTCGAGTAAAACTAAATGATTTAATAGCAACAAAAACCAAAATGCTGGCAGGGCAACAGAAAATTCAGTGTAACCAAAAATAAATAAATAAATAAATACTTTTAGGGCCATACTTTGCATTACACAGTTTCATTAACCTCAAAAGATTCAGCACAAGTGCATAAAACTAAAAATAGCATTTTAAGTTTGCCTTAAAGTTTTTGAAAAAGGCTGAGTAAAACAGATAAGAAAGACTGACTTTCTTGATCCAAAAAGATACATTTACATTTTAAATTCACAGGTTTCATTTCTGTCTGAACTGTGTGAGAGAAAAGAAATGTTTTGGAAATATTTGTCCTCAAGTGTGAAGGACTGTAAAGTGCACACATTTCCAGTAGAAGTGCAGCTGTGGATCACTGCGCCTGCTTCAAGAGCTCTTAGATACACAAGTGTCAGAGCGTCTGCGTGTGTTTTGTCTGTGGCTGCCTGCCACGCAGACTAACAGCTGGAACAGCTGGCCCCTCGCCACTACAATCCTGCGGATAGTTCCACCCCGCTGAAGTGTTACACTGCGGTTTGACGCTTCAGCAGGTGGCAGCGGTGACCTTTACCAAGCACAGAAAATAGTCGCAAWGCGATCTTACACCATGCAGATGTCATCATCCACGTCCAATACACGCCGTGAGGGAGAGAGGATATCAAGGGCCAACGCAGGGGCCTTGTTCACAGAGCCTCGCTGAGTTTTTATTCTGATGCGCTAATCAGCTCCACGGCAGCACAATCTGAAAATAAGCCGACTGCTGGAGCTCCGAGCRGCGACTTCCTTCACTTTCATTCCCAACATGAAGGGCCTATCTGTTTGAGGATGGCACAGTCCAGTCTGTGGAAGCTGGTCATGCATTAAAGCAGGCCATAAAGAGCTGGACATTTGTCTGCTGAAAGACACATTTATGGCCTTCGTTGTCCTCACAACATATGGCCTTTTCTGAGTTTTCATCAACCAAACGCTGTAAAACTTTAATCTGTTGCAGCACAAACAAATACATAACATACAGCTTTACCATCAAAACAAGAAGAGAATACAGTATAATGTCATGGTTATTTAGCTTTAAATATTATTAACATATCTCTGCCACGACAGGCAGCTACACAAAACCTCATTAAAGAAATGTGAGCTATAGTAATTTAAAATATAATCAGCTCGACCAAAACTTCAAAATATTCTTTCAGTAAAGTTATCAAAGGACAAAACTTTTATATTTACAGACATATTATTTTATTTTAAAATGGAGAAGTTAAAATTGTCTGAAGTTTAGCTCATAGCCAGTGTTGTATAAAGTACCTGAAAGTGATACTTGAGTAAAAGTACAAGTATATTATCATAAAATTACTTTGGTAAAAGTTCAAGTCTCCTCTAGGAATATTACTTGAGTAAAAGCCTTAAAGTATCTATTTCTTGTACTTAAGTATTAAAAGTAAGTTTCTGATGTAGAGATACCTCCAACATAACTTCTCATATTTAACCTAATTAATAT